AAACAATCGGGTAAGTATTTATTTGTTTCGTTCTGGCGGGCATGCATAGGCCTTGATACGCCATAAAAATACGGCTAACACAACTTGCAATCGGCAGTGACTCGAGGTGAGAAAAAACACTTTCTAGATTCTTGTTCTCGTTTTGTAAACTTTTATTAGTCACTTAAAATAATTTCCCAGCGCCCAAACCATGGTGTCAAGCTAGTGATAAACTGATGAAATAAACTGGAAGCCGAACATCACGGAAGTTGAATATCGAAAGTCCACAGGCTGCCCATAAGCTGTCCACAAGAAGAGAGAGACTGGGATCGAGATGGCGAGGCTACCAAGCTTTACAGAACTATCACGGGGTCGGACTCGCAAGGAAGTTGAACGCATACATGGTAGAGACTAATCGGAAAACTCGTTCGCTTTCAGTGTGTTAGAAGTCTTCGAATATGCAGCTCTTCCGTTCTTCCAGACTTGTCATGGTGCTAACGATTTTTACAGGTAAGGCAATTGTTTTTAGGTAGCTACTGCAATCGAAATGATTGATCTTTACGCTACGGGANTGAAATAAACTGGAAGCCGAACATTCATTTAAAAATGAATGTTCGGCTTTCAGTTTATTATTCACGGAAGTTGAATATCGAAAGTCCTCAGGCTGCCCATAAGCCGTCCACAAGAAGAGAGAGACTGGGATCGAGATGGCGAGGCTACCAAGCTTTATAGAACTATCACGGGGTCGGACTCGCAAGGAATTGGAACGTATACATGGTATAGATTGATCGGAAAACTCGTTCGCTTTCAGTGTGTTAGAAGTCTTCGAAGATGCAGCTCTTCCGTTCTTTCAGACTTGTCATGGTGCTAACGATTTTTACAGGTAAGGCAATTGTTTTTAGGTAGCTACTGCAATCGAAATGATTGATCTTTACGCTACGGGANCGATGTATGGCGAATTTAGCCAACCTAGCGGAGAGGGAGGAGAGTCGTAGCAGCTTGTATTTGTCAAATGTTGAACTGAGTAAAAACACTGATGAAAACAAAATGTCAGTTTACTTTACTTAACTTTTTAATTACTTTGCTGGCCTCGATTTTTTCCTGCATCTAGTCTAAACTTTGGCCCGTTCTGTCCCCCCGAAGAAACACGACTTCGAGTTCCCAGGATCTCTCATCTCCCCCGCCTAGAGAGGCCCTGGGAACTAGGTTGGTTCGAGTTATGTTACAGATTGCGATTTAGTTCATTTGATTTAGATCATTGGTTGTTCAGGTTTCTATTTAACTTTATTGCCATACATATTTACTTTAGAGCTGTTTACACTTCCATAAAAAAGTCATTGGAGCTATTATTGGTTTGGTTACTTGAATTTCGTAGCTGATTGAAACATTTGTCTGCATTTTTGTCGATAAAATCGATAATCAGTTGAAAATCTTGTGATTATCGACTTTTATCGACAAATTTAACTTGTCGATTGACAATTATCGACAAATATCGAGTACTATCGACTTATCGACTACGTTTTCGATGATCGACTTTAATCGACATGTTACGTCCTGATTTCGGGGAAAATTAAAATGTTTTGACACTCCGAAATTTGCACGTTCCGTAAAGTTAAATTACCAACTCTTCGTGTTCATTAACATCTTTATAACTCTTAAAGAGCTTTAAGCTAACTCTTCAGTCATTATTTGTACCTTTATAAGCCAAATGGACCGGCAAATTGTCGATCCCGGCCTAAATATAATTAGTAGAATTCTACTAGTATACTAATGCAAATGCTGCAATCTGATTGGCTAAGCTACTCGTATACTATCAGCCATTAGAGTGCAGTAGCTGTCGATCGTCCACGAAATGCGACTTTTTTATCGTTCTTCCGAAGTTTTGGAAGAGAGTTTAGATGTAAATAGATAATTAAATTCCTGAGACGACTGAAAGAAGAAAATTGACGGTTTCTTGACTTTAAAAGCTTGAAATTATTGAAAAATCGGGTGCGCGCGCGTAAACAACTGCAAAATTACCAGGGACAATTCAATACGTGCGGTTTTGTTAAAGCCTGAAGTTCAATAATGCGGAGAAAAATAATTGGAAACCGTTATTTGCGTTAATTTCAGTTAGAATTCTACTAAAACAATTAGATTATTCGCTTTCGATTTCTATGAGGTGATAGCTGATTCGGCCCCTCATAGAAATCTCGAGCTCATAATCTAATTGTTAATTATACAACGTGGCCATCTCGACTGGTGACCCGGGCTTCGAAATGGAATAAAAATATGTACATCGCAGCTGTCCAAATCGTAGCTAGACTCCGAATTGTAATGCTAGATGATACAGTTCTTTCACTTAGTTCTTGTCCAGTTTTGATAAAATATAAATCACAAATAACCCATAAATGTTTTAACTGCCCTCGAAGCTCTGTCAAAAGTCTCTTGAGTGTTTTAGCCCGGTTCCCGAAGTGACGTCACTAGTAACCCGACCCAGATCCCACTTTGCGCGGTCGTGAACATAGAAATTACGTGTTTAAACGCCAGTAGAGACGCAGGGATTTTATTTTTTCGCTCAAGTAACCACGGAAACTAGTAGATTTTATTAAGGGAAAAAAAAAATGGGGTTAGTGGCACTTTAAGAGCACACGGTGATTGAGTGACGGTGTAGGCGAAACGACTTAGCTACTTAGATAGAAATGTCACCTAATTTATATGAAAATTGTGACGACTGCCTAAACTTATACCACTAAACAAGACAGAAAACATGGAAATTCTTATCACGACTAATGTCCTACACCATCGTGACATTTTAATTACTTACATTTTAAACAGAAGCGATGGAAATAAAATGTTAACCTCTATCTGTAGTAGAGAAATATGAAAAAAGCCCCATAAGAGGATATAACAAATCCTCAAATCTCAATGTTTCCCTCAACTTCATCTCAGTAAACATTGAGATTCTTGGGAAACAAAATTCACTGTTCCCCTTGGGACCAGACATTAAGAGTTAATTTTTTTACTAAACACACCTTCTCAGTCTGTACTGCAATATCCTCTTTTTTCTTTTTGATTCACGGCCCATTGTGAAAAAACTCTGCCCACGGTACAGACCTCAAAGTCATTTGACTAAGAGTTAACTTTGTAATTTTGTAAATGAGTTCCAGAAAATTGTATCAATTTCACTTGGAAGGGAAATTTCAAGGGAGGGGGGTCACAATAATTTTTGATGTCTGCATGTTTAAATTATTAAAATGTATTAAATTTATTATTTCTTGAAAAAATTAAAAATCAGTAAAAATGTTAGACAACAATGTAACAGATTAATCATTATCTTTTTTCCAATTCTTAAATTATTGTAGCTAAATTACATGTAGCTTACAGTTTTTCTTAAGTACAGTAACTGCTTGGTCCTTAAAGGAACCAACTATAATTATACTTAATACTTGCTATTGTCTAACTCTCAGGTGAAGTAATGGCGAAAGTTATGTTGTTTCGAGGAAACATCTTCACAGCCACAAACACCTTCACTTTACCAGAAGGTACATCAAACTGCAGTCAGGAGATTAACATTTTTTCTAACCTGACTGGCAACTTGCCTCAACGGCTAACTTCTTGTCCTGATTCAAAGTTATGGACAACTGATATTAGTACTGGAATAACAAACTCTGAAACAAAGAGGAACTTTGGTTTAGAACATGTCTCCTTGAACTGCAGCCGCTGGAGTATTTCTGGCTATAATGACCAGATTGAATATCAGACCAGTTTGCAAATTTCTGCACTTATGGCTGATCCTGGCCCACCATTTGATGAGATATACTTCATAATAATATGTTCATGTATGGACTGCAGTGGGTTCAACATCAGGCACGATGCGGCCTATCTCGTAAAAAGTAAGTTCCAAATATTGCTTAAGAGTAGAAATCAAACAATTAACTAATTAAGCCAGTTTGATTAACATTTGCTGCTAACAGCTACTGACAAGAATTGATATTGTAGCAATGTGTTAATATCCCATGTCAGGCTATAGCTAGTACATGTATGCTATAAATTATATACTCAGTTATAATCCATCAAATATTTTTGCTTGCATGCAATAATGGTCTAAATGCACCACATGACTGTTTATGTCCCAGCTGAAACTGGGGAATATCTGAGTGATAATCCCCAGTTTTCATGTTCTGATAAATATTAGAAGGATAAAAAAGACATTAGCCTCCATTTGACTTTAAAATACCAATATTTGTCCTTGGAGATTATCTGTTCCTCAGAGCTTGCATTTTTCCTTGAACTTTGTCCTCAGAAAACTGTTCACTTCTTGGAACAGATAATATCTGTGGACAAATATCCGAACTTACTTTTGTGCCAAATGGACACTAATTCTATCTTTTACAATAACTGTCTAATTTGTCTGGCACTGATTGGCTCATTTTTATCATCAATGAGAGTACAGAGGGATAAAATTTTAATTTATGAAAGCTTTCAAGTTCAAGTTACTTTCAACTGTCAAACTGTAAACTTTTTAACCAATGAGATTTTATGGACTTTTTTAAGTGGCCAATCAAAAAGTGAGGGGGTAGATTGTTAGTTGTCACACCAGGGCTATAGCCAGAAAAAAATTAGGACTGGCAGGTAATGTCCATGGAAAAATTATGATTGAGGCAATAATGTCCATGGTTAAATTCTCTTCCTAGGTAT